GTTTTGCTCCAGGTCGCGGATGCCTCGTGTACATCGCCCGGCCGATGTCGCGAAGCCGCAGCCGAAGAGGAAGTTCATGAGAGTGCTCTTGGCCTTTTTCTTGAAAGCTCAGCGTAAATAACAATGAGTCCGCAACCTTATAGCGCTATCTATGATACTGATCACCGGACTAGATCTGTATAAGCCGCAAACGAACCATGATGGGATGGCATGTGCGACTCCACGTGATGCTGTTCAGAGCTTCAGTGATTCAGGTTCAGAATGTTGCTTGCTTTTGTATTTTCCGGCGTGCCGCTGAGAGATGCTCCTGAAGTTGCCGCCACTAGGATTGGTCCCTCAACTCCATCCCTCTCTGGGTGAACATGCTGAGTCTCAGTGATACATCGCATGCAGGTCTCTCATAACCAAGCTGATGACAGCAAGGAAACATGTCTTTGTTCTTCGTCGCTCGCAGCATTTCTGATCAATCTTCAGTTGTGCAGTTGGAGTCATGATTCGTGTTTAGAGGAATCTGCGGCTCACACGCTAGGCATTGAATCTAATTAACTCGGTCGCAGGGCTTGAGATGGAGCGAAGGTTTAGAACTGCTTGGTTTGTTTCTAAGTGAGGGCTCCTCGGGCTTGTGGGGTGCCCGTGTGGGCCTACGATAGATCTGTCTTCCACAAATGAAGGACACGTGCTTTAGAGATATCTCAGTGGCCGCAGAAGACCAATGTCCTGCAAGGTGGAGATATACTGTGACACAGTATTACATATACGCACCGTACGTATACCTGTGCAGACTGCGGCAGTAACTCATGCATGTGGCCAGGTACAGGTGGAAAAGGCTTTCAACTTGGATGTAGCTTGCAAAGGACTAGCTGACTCGGCTCTGCGAAGCTAGAGCCGCGCAGGGAAACTCAGAGTAATGACCCGTGTCTAGATATCGCACAATACCTACACTGCCATGGGATCTGGAAGAAAACTGAACTCGACACTATGCCTATGGCCGAAGCAAACATCTTTGAAAGAATCAAACGGTCAAGCAATGGAAAATGAAATGGAAGCTGGGACTATGAATCAGGAACTATCTGATAGATGTTTGCAGTCTCTAGGCACCTGTCTTACTGGAGATTACATGCCCGGAGCGACCTTTTTTACATCCAACTTTACTACGCCTTATAGCACGGATGCCAAGGGCTCGGCCGAGGATTGAATTCCGATCACGGAAATCACAAAGAGCTCGCGTCCCAGCTCAGCTCCCAGGTCCTGCATCATGCCATGGTTTAATTGTTGATCTTGGATTTCTTGTTCAGGTTTGCGGGCTTAGGGTTGGCGGCTTGCAAATTCATGGATGATTGCAACAAGTATGGGATAGCCTTAGCTGTTGAAACCTCGATTTAAACTACCTTGAATGCTACAAGTATAGGGTTCATGCTTGGATTTGGTTTTGCCTTCAGGGTTTGGGATGCACCATTGCTCCTGAAAGGTCTCGAGCAGCGTGATCTGTAAGGACGAAGAATCTCAGGTGTGACTATGAAAGCTACAAGCTTGTCCTTATGCCGTCATCGTGATTCTCATGGTGCCTGACGAGAAATATCAAGATGCTTTGTCGTTTACTTTCAAGTGCTCACACCCCAGCGCGCCAGAACATCGGCATCTCTGTCGGTGAAGTAGTTACGGTGTGTTATACATTAAGATTAACAAAAAACACAGCATTGTAGATTGGCTTGCCACAGTGTTTCTCACAATTATTGAGACAGCGAATGCCGAGAAAGATCCTGGTCTCTGGGTAGTAGGGGTGTAGATAGGGCCTTAGGAACGTTCGCGCAAAATGTAGGCAACTCGGCTTCTATCGACAGTTCAGGGAGGGATCTATGGACTGAAAACCATAAAAGCCAGCTCCTTCAATACCTCTACCAGGAAAGGTCCAGCACCTTGGAGAAAGTCATGGGCTTTTCACATTCTTGAGGCGTAAAAATCCTTCGCAGGCTTGATATTGGTTGACATTGGAAGGAGCATACACCATTTGACTATTTCTCAACATCACTGCACCCATTTGTCCCCAACAAAATTGATCCTTGTTATCGGAACCCCACAGAGCGCTGATAGTAATGAACAACTTCTACATAGGTTGGAGGCACAATCCTGAATAGCCAATGACACTTGGTCTGCGAGCGTTCAACGCGATCGAAGCATCCGGAACATGCGGAGACTACACATGAATATCCGCATTCAGGGTCTGGCGGAGTGTTTGTAAGAAGCTCGGGCCGCCATTCGGGCATGTTGCACGCCAGGTCAGCACTGTACCACGCACAAGGGGCATGTATCAGTACGGTCCCCAAGTAGGACATCCACTTGGGATACATGCCCATCAATGCGCAACAAGGAAGCATCATTGTAAAAAACCTTGTCTTCAGGTGCTTGCCATGATGTTGAACACAAGGCTTATCAAAATCATGGCTCATCGCTTGAGATCCCTTATATAGCGGACAAAAACCATGCATGTGCTGCCCAAATCCCCCTTGGCCATCACTGCCTGAGACCCGCTTTTCAAGGCCTTCCCATAGAGGGTTCACGTCTCCCTGAGCCATACCTGGAGGCTGGATAACCTGTTTCGAAGATATGCATATATATATATAACCAATTAGATAGGAATGCAAAACGAAGGACATTCAGGATTTAGTCTGACTTCTGAATATGATGTAAGGCTAAGAAGGCTCAAGCTACAACTCCACACCATCCCGCCGAGGGCCGCGCATTGAAGAGGAGACCCAAAAAGGAGCTGAACAGGACAGTTGAGGCTCCACGCCTCTGTCAATCCCGGAACCATTAATCAAGGGACTGAAGGAGAGAAAGCGTGATGTTCCAATGCTCTTTGACTACACTTGGTAACTCTCCCAGTGCTTGTGAATGCGCTCAGGTTGGGATTGACGTATTACTGAATAGGCAGTAGCGCTGGCTTGGGACAAATGGGCATTCACGGGCTGATGGCTACAGTGTAAAGTTTCCAGGGGCTGCGGACCGGGATGGCTAAGGAGTGAAAGGAGAACCTACCTTACCTTCGCTGCAGCACTTGTATATCCAGTGCAATCATCACAAGATTGCTGAGGACATGCCATGCGTGGAAGCGTGAGGACTTCGCAGTTGGAGGACTTAGTGGTGTGCTCTTCGGATTGGACTCCATCGGGTGTTGCCAGTGTTTATTCAGCTAGCGCCACAATGGCATCTAGTACCCCCCATACTGGTATTTTTGCTACCCAGCATTAGCCTTGATGTAGCCCGAGCGGTGCCCAATTTGAGAACAGAAGTGTCGCAGAAGCGGCATCTGAGCACTTATGACTATCTCCTGTGCCAACAGGCTGGGTCTTGGGGAAATAAATGCGTATCAACTCATAGCGCCAAATGCCAAACCAAAACCCGCAACCAGTGATGCTTGGTCCCGAAACAAATGAAAGCGGATTTCCTAAGGTTCTGTGGCCTCACGTCTGTCAAGCTCGGAAAGAGCCGCGTAAAAAAGGCCTGATTCACACCGACCCTGAAGAGGCCCTCTGCTTTCAGCAGTCTACTCGAAATAGCAGGCTTTGATAGGATATACTTGGTAAGAATGAAGTTGGCTGAATACTGTTTTACCCTAAACGTATGGACTCTAATCCAGCGACTCAAGATTGAAAAGCCCGGCCACCTGGACCCTATAAGCCCTGAGCCCTGGGCCCTAGACATTAAGGCCGAAACCGTGAACCCTTGAACCTAGGCCGTTAAAACCTTCAAGCCCTGACCCTTATCACCTTTGCTTTGAGACCACGGCCCACTCACCAAAGAGGTGCTTCAACGTCTCGGAGCTCGGAACGTCGCTGGGTCCCCGCATGCCAAGTCCTTCATGGGGTCCAAGCGTTCACTCAAAGCTTCTAAGGGTTCTGAATTGGAACCCGAGTTGGACATGACGATTTAGGGAGTGCCCAGTGTCCGTGTAGTCTCTACTGCGGTGCTACCAAAGATCGACTCACAGAACTTCTTGCGCGAAGGCGGTCTCTTCTACAATAAATTGGGCCCACTGTTCCCCCCTAGACTCCTCCGAGGGCCTCCTCCAGAGGTTTAATGTATAATATATTTAAAGCAGGGTAGGGGCAACTCCGCTAGCAGGGCCAAGGAAAATGGCTGAGAAATGGCCCCACAAGTCAATTTTCTTGCAGCGGTGATGTAAGACTCTGTCAGAGACTCGGCTCCATCATCATCTTCAACTCACCAACTACCAAATGCTGAAGAGCCTGCAATTACCCCAAAAGATTCCTTGAAAGCGGCCCTGAGACGGGAACCAAGCGCTTCTTTTGGTTTTATAAGGTCCCGCACAACTCCCTGAAGTGGCTTGTCCACGATGCATCCTGGACCTGGAACCATGACCATATGAGTAGTCACAAGGGGGCTCCTCAAATTGGGGACCTCCCCTGGTCTTCAAGGTCTGCATACTAGCCAATGGCATAATACTTGTGGAAGAATGTTATCAATTTGAAGAACGTTATTGCGGAGTTTGAGTTAGTCGAGAGCTTTGCGCCCCTATGCTGAGGGCTAAACTTGATTCAGTGCCTTTGCTTAAGGGATGGGCTGGGTTTCGTGCTGGCACAGAGCTTCGGGTGAGCTGGTCCAAACAGAGTCCACTCCGTGCACCCTTCAGGCTTGAATTCTTGAATGTGTCAAACGGCACGATCTGACGCACAGCCCTCTATCGTTTACCACAGACTCTTCCTTGACCGTTTAGGGTTGTAGGATTCAAAATCCAGAACAAGTGCTGCTGGCAGGGATTAATACATGATAGCAAACTTCTGAGCACGGCAAACCATTAAAACAATGCTCAGCTTGTTTGGCACCCTTGTCAGGAATAGGGAGCAGGATTGTGGGATTGTGAGGGCTCTGATTCTCATTCCCAAGACCTCCCTAATATAGGAACCCAAGACTGTCCCAAACCATCGACCAAGTGTCACCCACATCCTGATTGATTGCCCTGCAGGATCCCTCAGCTTGTCCTTGCATCTCAGTGGAGAGGTCGCTGATGGCAGCCACCTGCTAGCGGGAAAACCATGATGCGTGGAATCTAGGTAGAGTCTGACACCTTCTCCTATACCTATACAAGCATGGAACCGGAGAAAGAGCTCTGCGTAGACTGCTGCCCTCCTAATCAAATGGCCGAAGAAGGATTCCATTGTTGTGCCTCAGATCTGGTCTGCTTACGATTCAATCTGCTACTCTGGGTGGTGTACACAAGCCTAACTTGGACATGTACACCTATTTGTGTGATGATGTTGCACACGTCTCTCCTCATTTATTCAGGGTGTCTACATGATGTTCCAGGGTCTACGCAACTTCAAGTAATTTCTACAAGATGCACACGCGGGTGTCTGGACTGGGATGGGGTGTGCCAAAGATAGGGGGCGAAGTTTTGAGCGTTTGGGGTGGACATCCTAATCTAGACATCTAAGACTTGTCTTGCTCAGCATGGAGTGGGTCTGGCTTGCACAGATGAGCGGAAGTCCGTGCATGTGAACGTTGTATCTCATGGTTAGAAAAATCGAACCAGCTTCTGTACGTTATACGCGCCCATGCGATGTTGTAACGCGTTTTGGTTACCGCGAATCTCACCCTTTCCGGTCCCAGCACCCATGTCCCTACTATCCCCTCCTCATAAGCCCACGCTATGAGATGCCTTCTTGCAAAGCCCTAAATTCCCCGTATCCGTTCAAAGCCCCCCAAAGCCAGAAATTTCAGCTTGTTATGATCCCCAGAAGCCCCCACTCTGGTCAGACCTCCTCCCAGAAGCTATCCAAGGTGATGTTCAGCTGCTCGAGCGCCTTCAGAAGTGTTCTGTCTGCAAGGATTTGATACGCTTTGCAGGCCTTGAAAGGGGCGTACGGTGCTTCGTGGCGGGACAGCTGGCCTCAATGAATCGGTTTGCTCTTCGAGGGGCCGCGTTGCTTTGCGAAACTTGAGGTCCGATGCCTTGCTGAGGATCCCCTTATCCTGTCTAGACCACTCCTGACTTTGATGCCTGAGTCGAGACTTTGGCGTGTGCAGGAAGTCGCGTGTCTGGTTGAAGGTCGTAAATTTGGCAATTTGAGTTTCAGATTGCGGAAGTTTGAAGGCCTTCTGCCGATAGACCTCGGGCATATGGATGGCTTGATTCACTACAACAATGAGAAATGGGCTAGGCAAGCAATCCCTGCTATAAGCCCTACACCACCAGACCCCGGCACCCTAAACATCCAAAACACTCAACACTCAGACCTTGACCAGCCTGTTCAAATCATCTAGAAAAATTGAAACCCTCCCAACACCACATCCGTCGCGCTTCTTCACCGCACCTGTTCAGTTTGTTGCAGCCGCTGCATCACGCTCTGCATCTCACGCTGGTGAGGCCCCTGGGCCAGGCATCGGAAAGAAAGGGCAAACTTCAGTAAAGATTTAGGGGCGCGCCAGGCTAAAAAGTGCTAGCGCATCTATGTTCATGATATCCCTCGGGCACCAAAGATCATGCGCAGCTGGGTTTTGGGTATCCAGAAAATTGTTTACAGAGATGACCCGCAATGAGGATACCATCTTCCTGCCCCCATCCGGACCCGCCAGCTCCTCTGCAGGGTACCAGAGAAGGGTGGCTGGTAGCCAGTCTGATCCCTGCAGGCTGACCCTGACCCCCTTAACTCCAAACCTCCAAACCCTCAAGCCCTAAGGCCTTTGTGAGTTCGTGCGGTTGCGGATATGGGGTGGCTTACACCTCCAGGTGCTGACTTCATCAACAGTATAACCTTGCTACCTGGTCACATAGAGTAAGCAGAACCAAGTCTCAGAAGCCCCCCATATTTCTTCACGCTTGCTTCAGCGTGGGAGTGTATCCAAATGACACCTATCTAATTACTGTTGAAGGGGCCGCCAATCACCTGATAGTGGCTGTATATCGGAGGTACCCCTGTGTGAGGAACCCCATAATCCTGTTGAGGGCTGTAAGTCTGCCCACCTCCATCTGTCCACGCATGTCTTGGTGCAGCTGGAGCCTGATAGCCCGGTTGCTGTCATTTTGTTCTGTAGGGCCTTTTTCAGAATGCACCGCGGCATTCTGGCAAGAAAGGCTTGTCAGGGTTTATCGTTGCGGGTCTGCATTTAATTGTGTAGTGTCAGGAAAGAGTGTAGGCATGTAGTGGATCGGCCACAGAATATCACCATCTCATGTACGGATGCTACCGGGATGAATCTGAATACAAAATACATTTATCTGATTTTGCTGGCGAACCCGGGTGTGGGATTTCGCGCTTAGAAGTCCCAGTCTTAAAAACTGGCTGCAAAACTGTTTGAACAAGTGCTTGCGGAACAATGCGTTCCAGGTGCCTCCAGCATGCTCTCTAGATCCGATTCTACTTGGGCCATGCCTTCCGCGTAGCCTCCGAGAGTAGCCTTTGTAAGCTTAGTTATGATTCCTTCCGCCTTCCGGGCCTCTCTTGCGCGAACATGTTTCACTTGGATTTCTTGACTCTCTTCCACGAGGCGGCCTGGAAGACCACTGCTCAAATGCCCACGAGGCCTTCTGCAAGCACATGCTGCTGCGAATCTTCTGCGAAGAACTGCTTCGTGGGCGCGCTTGGTTCCGGATTGCCATTCTCACAGTTATTCAGCACCATACGTGACTACAAAACACTGCTCGCAAGATGCTCAACTCCGCAGTCCGTGAAGAACGTCGCGACCACCCCCACACTCCAACCTCAACCCCGCGACCCCACGTGGTAAAGTTTCACAACGCTCCACCCCATGACTTGCGGCACTAACACTCCAGAATCCCGCAGTATGAAGCCTCAGACGAGAAACCCCGTGTCGACGCAAAATTCGTTGCTTTGCAACCCCCACCTAGTCTGACACCTGTCCCCTAATGCCGGAGCATATTGAATGCCTGCAGCAGTATAGGAAAACCTCTGGACAGGCCATGGCAACCTGACCCCGGCAGAATCCAGCAGCAGAGGTGTTTCCTGAAGCCATACAATCCTTCTGTAGCTCCAATATACTTCTCCTGGAAGCTCCTCACGCATATCCGAGTGCAAGCTCGAAGTGGACCCCGAAATCCGGGCCCCGAAGCCCTAAAGCCCATATACACATGGTCCCGTGGAGTAGGAAGTAAAGTAGTATCCTGTTTACATGCAAGGAAACCCACACCCAACAAAGAACATAGGATTACTCACCTTGACCCAGAGAAGACCGGGCACCTGGTTTCCAGAAGCTCCCGTCGCTGGGCCATTAGAGGAGCGAGACGTGGGGTTCTCCAGGCTTGAAGCCCTTGTCCTGCTCAGAGTGGAGAGGGTATATGAGGGTATTGGTCCTAATTCCGGGTATGCAATGGGCCTCAGAAGTCTCTGGTGCTGTTTTTGGCTTTCTTACACATGGTGCCCTGGAGCCCTGTCATGGAGCAAGACTCCATAAAACAACAATCGACTCAGTGGATCATGTAGCATAAGCAAACAACAGCATGTGGCCGTTGTGCTTGTTTTAGATTCCGATTTTTTGTTATGTGGCTCTTGCGGAAATGACACATATCATCGATGACAGTGGTCACGTGTAGTAGTTGTGTCTGCTTATGAAGAAGTTTAGGCCTGGAACCGCATGAGCACAGTAGGCTGCAAGCAGCTAACCTCCCTGGAAAAGAGTATGGAAACTACCATAGTATATTGGGGGTATATAAGAAATAATGAAAAGGATAATGGAAACTACCATAGTATATTCTGCAAGCACTGATGTGGTATAGCAATCACAAGCTTCTGTTGTCACCCAGCATTCCTAACTCTGCGACGAGGGCGTGAGAAAGGCCATTCTCCGACAAGACCTTGGCGGACCTAAACCTTGGGAACCGGGGGAATCCAATATCATAAGGGTTCTAATATGCACACTAAGGCTGTTCTCAGACTGTTGGCCTGCACTAGAAGGAGGCTTTGCAATGTAGTGGGCTATAGATTCCTGCCTTTGCAACCAGATCAGTTGACTCGCACTGAATTCCGCAAGCCCTGGCAGCCCTGGCAGGGGCTGCAATCCCGCAGCTCCAAACAATGATGGTCCTGACCCCTTCACAGGCTCTGGGCCCTTAAGCCTCGTATGTTGTTACGCCATTGCTCTCAACGCTTGTGGCTCATTGTCATTTTCCGTACGGGCCGTTCTCACACAGCCAAAGTGCATCTAGTGAGGCATGGGGGACAACCTTCCGGGTGCAAACAAACACGCGAAAGCCCAGCGCAATCCACCAAAAACGAACCATGGCCTGAGAGTAAAGAAAGCATCTTGAGCCCGTATCAATCAAAGCAGACTCCGTAGTAGTAAGGACCTCCATCCTGTTTACATGAACAAGCCTCAAAGAAGATACCGGTAAATATTAGGACCCTTATTAGAGGGCGCCCAACGTCCTGATCGTACTCAGAAACCCTACTCCATGAACCCTGAACCCTAAATCTCTGTCCACAGGTCCACAGAATTTGTCATCTTAGGCCACAGCTGTCTCCATGAAAAATCGAACAGGGGGAGACATCCCCTGGGCCTTGGGGACATGCCAGCTTCAGAGGAATTTGTCTAGGCGTTAGGGATCATTAGGGTGACGAATTACATTGGGATTTGCCACCCCCGGGCTCACATCTTATAGAGACCAGGAGGCCTGAGCTGCAGTTTTGTCGCATGTTGTGAGGCTTATAACTGCTCAAGGGCTGCTCATAGATACTTTAATTGCTTCGAAGGCGGGTGGCAATCTTGTTTCAGGACGGTTCAGTCCTCATGAGGATGTACCTTCTTCTATAGATGGCAAACGCGTAACATGTAAAACAAGGGAATCTAGCAGTCTAATAGGAAACTATCTCAGAATGGATACTGTATCATCGAGAGCACATTGGCATGATTTGGCATGTAATAGGATGAGGACAAACATGAAACAACATCGCCTAAATTTGAGCACCCCGCGTCACACGTCTAAGGCATCTGAGGATCTCGTAAAGATAGCACATGCAAGGATTTTGTTTGAAACCAACCGACTTTGCAACAGGCCATACCATGGATACCAAAACAAAGAAACACTGTACACGGAACCCTCGCTCATCAGTGGCAACTGCACAATCCCAATCTAATGTAGTAACTTCACACCGAAGCATAGCTTTTGTCAACCCTACGGTATGTAGCCACTCGCACTGTGAACCATCTGTCACAACCTTCGAACAACAGTCCCTTTAGTGAGGAGCCCAAACCAAGAACCTGTCAGGCCCGGACAAAAAGCTCGCGGCGAGCTTTCTCCAGCTGCCGCAGCTTGCCCTGGTGCACAATTTTCTGCACAGTACAAGGAACCGAATTCATTTGCAGACATGGGGCTTTATCTGACCTTAATAATGGAGCATTTGCAACCTTAATTTGGCTTCAATCATTGCCGGCAGCTTGAGCTTGCGGGGCCGCCGAGGCCTCGGTGCCGGTCGTCTGGGTCATTTGACCGAAGTGTGGGTTGGGAGCAAGAGCACTTCAGGTGAAATTTGCGGACGGCCAGCAAATTTCTGTGGGTTCCCTCCCCTCATCTGGAAGAACGGCTTTTCACATCTACGTTCATACTGCAATAATCCGTAACATGGGTTTCCCCATTTTTTGAACTGCAGTTTCAGCTATCCCCCATGTATGGACGCAAGCAGCACACCCGTAACCTAAACGTGAACCCATACCACTCACCTGCAGCAATTGTGTAATATCGGCACTGTAAGCACCGCTTGTCTTCTTGGGTGATCTTTGGTGGCAACCCTTGACCTCTACCTGGACGCTGGATGCCCTCCTGCTTTTGGAGCATATCCTGTAGAGAGCAGGATAGAAGACTGAAAGAGTATTCAGGGGTGCTGTCACGTCTCCCTCCCCGTCCCACCGCGAGCTCCGCAATCTTTGCATCATTGGCGCTTTCGCCACTCACATCTGCCTGCAACTTTTGGGAGTGGTTGGTTTGCAAACCTGAGAGGTACCTCTGTGATGGCATTTTTGGTAGTACAAATACTTCCATGTCCTGGCTGACATTTCAGGCGGCCCTCGAAAACCACAAAACACTCGAAGTCATCAGGCGCGCTGAGATACAAAGCTGAATCGTTCCTGGGCTGTGTGCACGCAGGCATGTGAGAGCCTCTTCGCCTCACAAGCGCCCCTCAAACTTGAATGAACCGTGCAGCCTGGGGTTGCTGTTCGAGCAAGTGGCCGTCTGTAACACCGTACTGCGCTGAAGCCTTGATCTTAAATCAGTAGCACTTGAAAAGGCCGTTGCTGTCTGAAACCTTGAAGCATTGTAGCTCAAGCACCAGAATGGACATGCAAGTAAGGCACGATGATCCCCTCCATTCTGCACACGGAGGAATCCGGGTGGCTGCAACATTTCATTCTGTTGGAGGATATGTGAGCTATCTGCTAGAGCGCAATGGGAATTCATAGTCATAGTATCACACATGCTGAGCCTTTAGACATGACAACTCCCCAAATCATCCTCTGCAGATCCCCATATGTCTCCAGCACATGCTTCGGTAAACCCTGCGGACCCTGCGCCGCATCTTTCTCGGGTTTTGGCGACTTGGTGCAAGTTGGGCCATATGGGCCCGCGTTCGGCTCATCATAACTCAAGCGCCCACAATTATCCTGCTTGTCACTGTAATTATTGGATATTATTGGTCAGACTTAGTGGCCATCGCCACATCATCCTGCCATGATTTCTGGATGTCTACAAGCTTTGAGCTGGAAGCATGGCACTGCAGCATTGGGTGTGTGCCATTTTGTCCTGTCCGTGCAATCTGTCTTCGACCAGCATTCGCCTCCAAAAGCAAGTCCACTACACATGCCTGATGAGTGGCGCATGCTGCCCACAAAGGAGTTTGGCCGCAAGTGTTGGGCGTGTTTGGACACGCAGCGGCTTTCAACAGCAACCGCACAATTTCCACGCGACCTTGGAAGGATGCATGCCACAAAGGCGTTTCACCTCCGCTGCTGGCCAATGCGTGGTCAGCACCCGCATCCAGCAACAAGTAAC